ATCTTTATTATTGCTTCTTCTTTCGAATTCTTTTTCTCATCTTTGCCAAGTTCCAAGTTACGGATACGTAGGAACTGGGTATAGTGCGCTCAGCGGGCAGTAGCGTCGCGGTGGCGGGCGCCACGGGGTGCCAAAGTGCCACACCCTTTTTATATTGTGTTTTATATTGAACTATATAACGTGCAAGACTCGGCGGGTTCACGGAAAACATGAACGGTTCAGGGCAGGGTGCGATTTTGTGAAAAAATTAAAAAAAAAAGGCTTATAAGTACCGTAATGAATGTTTTTCTATAAAAAATAAATTAATCTGCGAAGAAAATTTGTGAGATTGAGGTAAAAAAAAATGTATTTTTCGATAAAAGTGCGGTACGATCCACCGGGAATATATCCCTCTAATAATTACAGGGTTAATTCAATAATGGCATACGTCAGAAACTGAACGTTAGTTGAGCTAAAGTTATAATGCATCTGATATAACATACCCTGCAGTATATCCCTAAGGAGTGAACTTTGTTTCGCTACTAAAATCCCTATGCATATCATATCAGCCGTATGCACGGACATATGTGAACGTATATGTATATACAGCAGCATAGAGCCTAACACGTTAATTCCAGCAGATCGATACTTATTATCCCCGCCGAAAAAGAATATGAGTAAAAATTTATGAAAACATATTTTGACCCTCGATCTACACGTGAAAAAAATAAAAAATTCCTACAGGGTGGTCCCGGTGCAACGAATTTTCTCTAATTGAATTTAAAAAATCGTTAGTACCTCGTTAGTGTGGCTGCTTGAAACATTTTTCTTTTTCTTTTTTCCTTCGATCTTCGTCGTTTCTGCCGTACATGGTAACATTAGTCTACTAATCGGCAACAGTGCTGCCACCCAATACGACGGTCGTGTCTTGTATCAAGGCGAACTGTTCTCCTTTGAACTAATTTACACGCCGTTGCTCATAAGTTATCCCTGATTGGCGTCTCTAATTTGTACTAACGTCACCATATGTGCAGCGTCTCCACGCGCTGTTGCAAACATATGCGCCAACGCGGTGGCGTCGTCGACGGTAACGTCGGCTCGAACCACACAGTAAAAAACCAGAGATTCATCGTTAATCAGTCGAGACAGTAGCTTACCGATTTTAGAATTTGTTATACGTGCTTGCGCAATCTGTTTACCGGAATTCGTCAGACCCGCCATGTTTGTCCGAAGCTTCGTCTTTCTGCCACGCGCATGCGCAGTGAACGCTATTCAGATCTGTCAGTTCCTGCACGCTGAGTGAACAATGGCTGATCGCGTTCTACTTTTTCGTACTGTTTTACGCGGAACAGCTGGATTCAGGGTACGATATATATATATTTATCTATTACCGAGTGTTGTGTGGGAGCTGAGAAAAGCAGCAACGCTGTCCACGTCTGGATTCTTCGACAAGTAAAATCAATCAAGAGCTTACAGACCGCGACACTACGAAATGCACTTTATTTCCATTGTGCTCGTGGCCCTTGTCCTTCTGCCTTGGCTGGATCATTTTTTGGACATTTTTCTCTCTCCTTCTCTCTCTCTGTATTCTCGTGCTTGACAGTGTGGCGAGAAACGAGAGAACCTTTCTCTGATCTGCTTAGCGACCCTTCTAACCTTCGAAAGGCGCTAATGGACTTCGGGATCCGTGATACGTCGACATAGAGTGTAGTTTTAACGTAGTTTGGTTCGCCATGTTATCCAGTTACGGATATCGTACAAAGGGTGTCAGTGTCCTAACGATAGAGAAACGAAATAAGAAAAAGGTACGTGACATTTTTTTTATAAATATTTTAAACATTTTGACAATTTTCTCTCGTTTTTTTCATCCGCTCGGTTCGTCGCGATAAAAAAAGTTTATACGTCTTTGACTTAACAATTTTTTTTTTCTCATGCACCGTTAACCTTCTTAGGAATACCAGTGAAATATTTTTATCTACAACGAGCAAGTGTCCGATACGAGACACTTTATGACGCAATGAAACTATTTTATGCACGACACGAAAGAGAACTGAAAATGGAATCGCAATGCCTCTTGGGTACGATTACAATTCCTTTTCACGATAACCCCATGGAATTTCGAATTTCATACGATCCACCTTATCTCCAGTCAGGTAGGTTTAGCCAAGTGCATTTGCTGTATCGAATAGAAAAATCTCAAATGTACTTTATCCCCGGTCTCTGTCAGACAATTGATATCACCTGCAGCCTAACTACGTCCCTTCAGCGTCAGCAATAACCCTAAAGGCAGATTCACATTTATTCGATACACCAACCTATAATTTCTTCAGTCAATTCTTTTTACTCCATTTAAAAAATAACCATCCCTCATACGACTCCCATTCCCTGTATATCAATAATACCTTGACGCTCCACGTATATTCTCGACTTTCACAAATAACCTCACGGGTAACATAATCGTCGAATCATTTCGTATAATTTGTCGCTTTCCAATTTCGAAATTGACATTCTGCCCTAATAGTACCAGTCGATAGAGGTAATTGACCAATAGAACGTAGGTCAAGGATCGGGGGGATGAAATAAGCGCTTCTCATTTGACGTACATACGTTTATAATGGAGTACGGCCCTTTTTGTTTGGCTTTTACTAACGCTCGATATATACATATATATACACCTTTGTACATATATACAGTACATAAACACGTGGCATCGATCAGCCTCGTTTGCCTGAAGTCTTTATCGTTCCTTGTCATCCCTCTGTTCCCTACCCCCTTTCGGTTCGCAAGGTTAGGTTAGGTTGCCCCTGATTCAGAGTCCTACATATCTTTTACGAAGGACACAGGTGACTACGTCTTTATTGTGACTTGACACCATTACCAATTACATTATTGCTTCCCTTCAAAAAAAAAAAAAAAAAAAAAAAACATTTACCAAATTTTATTCTTGCACAGCCATACAAGGGATATTTTCAGTTAGACACATTTTGTGTATACATTGTAATATCGTGTGTATATATATATATATATATCTTTGATCGCGTTTCAATGTGACTTCACTGTTGTTTGTCAGCAATTGTTCCGTAAGGCTTTATTTCAGGAAGTGCATACGATGCACGCCCTCGTGCCGGTGGTTTTGTGTATGCACTTCTCTGGTGCAGGACAATGGCGCCGGACAGTTGCTGCACTTAATTTAGCCGGTGCGGCACACGTGAATAATGGACCCACGTTATACGCGGGTACAAGACGCTCCCGTGAAGTTTACGGGCGATTATTTCAGGGCGGTAGGACGAAGGGTGGTTTTTGCAGACACACGTGTTCGCTCTGACGGTTCAATTGTTCGGCGGAGACGCAATTGTTCGTGGGTGTCGAGAGAAAATTTTTTTTCTTGACCAAAAAAAAAATAATTTTTTTTTTCTTTCGGCATCGTCATTAATTCAAGATACTCTTGCCGCTGATTGCTTGCCGGCTATGATTAATTGATACGGGGCTTTTATGAAATTGTCAATTCACCTTTTCGCCGCTGATCCGTGTTATTTTACTCAACTTGAGGCGTTTTCTCGGGGCTAAATGAATTCGATGGCGTAAATGTCGATAAAGAGAAAAAAAAAATATTCACGCAGTCATCGTCGTTAATCACACGAATCATCCGCGTCCGGATTGGATCATTGAAAATGAATGAGGTATTTCCATTATCTTAAAGTTTCGCGATCAGGGGGAGGTGGGAGGTGGTGAACCGTTCCCATTATCAAATAGAGTTTGCAAATTATATTCCACTGATTTTTCATTCCGTATAATTAATTGAGGTTGCGGATCTGTTTAAAAAAAATTTTTTTTTGCCTTTCACGGAAATTCATTTACACTATTATTATTTGTACGGACCAAATTTCCATTTGAATGAATTCTATAATTATAACGATCCTATCACTGTAACAAATCTCTTGGTCGGTTATTATTAGCCATTGTAATATTTCTATTAATAAATTGACCTCCTTTCACTTTTATTTCATACGACTATCATGTTTTATGCAATTTCAGTGTACTGCCAGATATCGTTGTACGAAACAGCGGAATCGCAGTAAAAAAAAATGGAAAAAAATTGAACAGCAAAATGTCTCGTGGTAAATCTAGACAAATTTTTATTATCTAATTCCAATATGCACCCGCGTAGTTACTTTGTTATGAAACATAAAGCACCGTTAGTCGGGCGTCTACGATGCGTTTATATTGTATCCCATGTACCACCGTGCATGTCCTACAGTATATTAATGTCCCTATTATTGCATATCAAAGCTGTAAATTTAGTGCGGTAATGGAGAGTACGTGTGCGCATGCGCACAGGTAGTGCGTGCGTATCAGTACGCCGGTCACGTGCAGCCTGGCGTATTAACTTGCATCATATGTGCGTGTATATATATATATGTATATATGTATAGGCTTTCACAGGCATATAACTTATATCCATTTATAAATGACCGAACTCAAATCTGTTGAACGAATGACTCGATGAGAGACGCATTTAGTAAACTTACTAACAGGACACGTGTTGTACAATGTATGAATACACAAATGCGTGGAACGTTTACACGCGTGTCAAGGCTGCCAACCCCGAGTTTGGTTTGAATATTTGCCAACCAGACGTTACATTCAAATTCGAGCGTGTAGCTTACGTTACGCTTGGCTCTGTGTGAAATTAGAACTGTTCGTGGAATTTTAATTGGGGGATCGGGTCGCGCACGGGACGCTGGGTAATGCGGGATATTATTTGCTTTTGGGAATTAATGATCGTTTGTGAGGGAAAACGTGAAAATTAGGCGATTAGCTTCTTTTAGGAGGGGCGGGGGGGGGATTTTTGATTTCTGTAATTTGGGTGTAGGTACTTAAAATTTTTGGATTTGATTGTACTTTTTGGACGATTTTTGAATTTTTTAATGAGTGCTTTTTTCAGAACGCTTTTGACTTTTGTACACGCGATGCCTGTTGCACGAATCAATGACACTGTACGGTGACCATATTTTTTTCAGGCCAATGTCATGTGCTGTAATAATCACTTTGATTAGGATGACAATTGTTTAATTGGTATTCACGTCGACGTACTCGGCACCGGGAACCAGGTATAAAAATGAGGCTCAAGTTGCCATTAATATCAGTCAATCATCGTCTGCTGTCATCGTTATTCGCTGCTAGACAAAATGAAGGTAACGCAATTGATTAAAAAAAAAAAAAAATTGGATTATGATTTCAAAAAATTTTTCAAATTTTTTTTGCCCACACGAGTATTGTAATATTTTTCGTTATGTGAAAAAAATGATTTACCTTGTACATATATATTTTTGATTAAAAAATTTTTTTTTCATAGTCCTTCCTCTGCATCTTCCTTCTGGCAGCCATCGTTATGGCGGAGCCACCGCGTTTCCGGCAGCAGAGTAGATTCTTTGCTCGTCAACAAGAAGAGACCACTCCTGCTCCAGCAGAAGCTCCCTACGCTCCCTCGGGATGGAGACCGGCTGGACGTGCTTTTGAATTGCCCCAGAGACAGGTGCAGAACACTTACGGCGCCCCTGACCCTCCTGCCGCTTATGGGCCACCTAGTACAACAGAGGCGCCAACGACTGCCGCCCCTGAGGAACCCACCACTGTCCCTCCGTCAGAGGTACGGTGGTCTTTGCAATTGAAATTTGGAATAGTGACATTTATTTTGAATTTAAAAAATTGTTACGGTCTCATAGAGCTATTTGTAAATTTTTTTTTTTATTGTAGGAAGACGGTGCCAACGAGTTCGAGGAAGACGGCAACCAGGACGAACAGCAGGGCGAATATTACGTAGCACTTCCCGATGGACGTCTTCAGCGCGTGCAGTACGTTAGCCGTGAGGATGCTGCGAAGATGCGTTACCTCGCCAAGATCGAGGCACGAAACGTTGGACCAATCTACGCTTACAGTCCCCTGCAAAAATTGGAATTGATCAGACCCGTGAAGTTCGAGGCGCCCCTGGCGGTAGTACCGATCGCCGCCGCATCGGATGCGCCACTGTCCACGTCCTATACGACTGTCACTACAAATTTTCAACCCGCATCCGGCAAGGTGCTTCTAGCAGCGGTTTAAAAGCATTGACTTCCTTTGATAATTGCTCGGATTATCAGCAGAGATGTATAAACTGTACAGTGTCAAAGTTCCCCTATCGTTATCAATGAACGTCTTAATAAAATAATTCAATACAGAAAGATAACGTGTATTTACGAATACAGTGCGTACGATTTTCAATAACTAGTCTTAATTACTATTTATTTAATTTTAATTCAATACGCTGCAAGCTCATCGTCGAACAATGTAAATCAAGGGAGCTTGATCCGAAGCTTTCTCAGAAAGTCTCTTTAGAAATCGTAGAACTTTTGAAACGGAGCATTCGATAGATTAACGTAAGAGCGCGCGACTTAGCTTAACAATTAATAGATAATTATATGCCATTGTAATTGGTACGAGCCAGGTGGAGAAGTTACAAGATAAAAGTAACAGGAATCACTGCTCCTAATGAGTAACTGCTCGTTGGACTATTAATCATGATAATTCAAATTAATGAAATGCCCATCAGACTTCATGGTATCAAGAAAGAAGCTCCATTCCGACGGAGACTGAGAAAGCTCGGGAAAAGAAAAAGACCAAAAAAAATCTATTTCCTCAAGGCAATTTCCTTAATCGACAGCGGTATAAAATTGTCAATGAAAAGCTTGTACTTCGCTGAAATTCACTCGCTGTCACGTTTATCCCAGCGTAAACCCACCGGAATTCTACGGCGTATCAGCGCGCGTCTCCGCCAATAGGGGAAACGTGTTAAAGCGAAAGTGATCGAACGGAATTTTTGGCCGTTTCTCTTCGATCCCTTCCACCGTGGCTCATACGTGTCTCTGTCATTTGAACTCGCAGTCAGGATACCGTACAGGTGCTTTTGTATACCTATATACTTATGGCAATATATATATATATACATATATAGGCCACCCATATTCTTTATAGCAGCTCCATCGTCTCTCAGCAGTTCTACCCCATCCAGCGAAAACGTCCATGATAAAACCGCTCGTTTGTAAGCGCGTGATCGAATTCCTTTCTGGAGGGTTGGCGGTTCTGGTTGTGTGTCGGTTAAAGGGATGGAAAGTGGTAGAAGAGGATGACGAAGAGGACGAAGTAAGAACGGAAAGCGTGTGGAAGGATAGAATCGAGACATAAGGGTGAGGGGGGGG